CGTGAAATATTAATCAAAATGTTTTACATTCATAAAAATAATTTTGAGGAAAACATATCCTTAACCTGTATTTAAAAAATCTAGCTGTTTTCTCTTTAATTTATAAACACAATGAAACTGAAATGTTGAAAGCAAAGGGTAACAAATACAGAACACACAAATACTATCCAAAAAAACTGGTGTAGCATTATCAATATTGGCCAAAAGAGAATTTAGACAAAGTGAAAAAGAGATAAAGAGGCTAATGAGTTAATACTGAAAGGAAAATTCTTTCCAGAATAACAAAATAAAATAGAACATACTTGTTCTTAACAACATAACTTTAATATAAAGGAAAGTGAAATAATACCATAGAGAAATTTATACACATCCACATTCATTGCAGGACAATTTTAAACATCATTCTCAAGATGTACACAAATGCAAAAAAAAAAACTATACATAGAAGATGCATATTACCAAAATATACTATATCTCATAGCTGCATAAAGTACCCTGCAAAAGAATAATTATATTCTTTTAAAGAATCATGATATAACATTTACAAAATTTGAACTTCATTACACTACAAAGTAATTCTTACCAGGAATCAAAATATTTAAACCATATAAACAATGTACTCTGGAGAAAAAGGAAATACAAAGAGCCATAACAGGTAGAGACTTGCAGCTCATCTTCCATTCCAATAATTTTCCCCTTCTTTGGCCACCCAACTAAACTACATTCCTAGCCTTCTTTGTAGTTAAATATAGCCAGGCATCTAAGTAGTTTGCAATGTGAGCATAAGTAACAAATGTCATATTCAGGCTTATACCATGAACACTTCTCTATGATCCTATTGCTTCTACTGGCACAATAAAGGTTACGATCAGGCCCTAACAGACATTTTAGACAGAAGATGTTAGGAGAAGAATTTTTCAGATGATCACCAAATGGAGGAGAGTTCACTGACCCCAGCTGAGCAAGAACTAATCTACAATAAATTGGAAACACTGGATTTTGACTTTCCTCTTAATGCAGTTAAGCCTTCTCTGATACAAAGAACAGAAAAAGCGCCTTATGATTTGCAATTTAAAATTACACTTGAAAAATGAAAATCTATAAAAATTTGAGAAATACAGGAGATATAGTATAATAGCATTAATACTCACATCAGAAAAAACTAAAGATGTAAAGTTAATAAGCTAAGTATTCAATTTAAGAATATCATGGAAATTTTAAAAAGGAGAGAAATAATAATAATAAAACAAACTGATTAGATTGCAAAGAAATAATAGATACTATTGCTTTAAAAATTATTAACAATGTAGGTCATACAAACAAACTTTTTTCAACACTTTAAATGGACAGTTGCCTTTTAGAGAACTGCAAAATGGGGAAGAAAGCTTTTCAGGGTAAAGAATAAAAAATAAGGAAGTGACAAATAGAAAATATCTGATTGGCTAGGGCTACACAGTTATTCTTCTTGGGAGTGAGAAGGTCCAGAGTTGACTCATTGTTTGGGATTGGTTGACTGGTTGTACTCTATTTCTGATCAAGTGGAGCATTTATAGAGACATAAAAAGTAACTAAATTTTGGGTTGCTGATATGGCACCCTAGGCAGGAGCAGCTATATCTTGGGCATCAAAATTCATTTCAACACTCCCCTCTTCTGTTAATCCTCTTGACCATTCAAAAGGTTTGATCAAAAATACCAGAGTTAGTGTGACTCTCCTTAACATTGCTCTTTGAGGTATCAGAGCAGTATTTACAAAAGACTATGCCAGGTGCCTATTATTGGAGCTGCTTATGTTTTTCTGTTATCTTTTTTGGTTCAGTTGGAGAGAGACCAACTGTGGACAGGTCAATGACTGTCCACCTGCACCCAAAGCTTCTTAGAGAATGTAACATAATAAGGAGAGAATAATAATTAGTAGCAACAGACAATGCCCATGGTTTGGAAAGTGTTCCTGGGCTGGGGTCCCCATGTCCCAAACCAGTGAGAATGAAATATGCCTAGAAATGATTGCAAAGAGGATCTTCTTTAAGCCCTTTGGTCTCTATATATTTCATGTAATTGTGTCTCCACTTCCCCAGAAGTGTCCACTCACTGAGCTTATTTCAGTAAAACTGAGGCATTGGAAATCAGGGAGAAGTTTGCAATGGGCAGAGAGAACTACGGGATCACCAGCATCACAGCAAATACAACAGTCATTGGGAGTTAATTACCCTTCTTACAATGGCTTTAGATATGTGAACAGTGGCATTATTTATCCCAGCTGGGACAAGGCAATAGATGGACAAAAGAATCATAAAGAATTTCCTGGTGTAACAATCAGAAAAAGGATGGTCAGAGAGGGAAGGAGGAATAGAAAAAAGTGTTTTTGATCTGACATTTTGGGAAGGTTAAAATCACTTCTTATTTAACAATGGTTTCTATGTAATTTAACATACCAAATAAATCTAATTAGTTTGACATTTCTAATTTTATAAGGAGAGAAAACAAACCTTTTAAGATGTTCCAGGGACCCTCTGAAAAAAATCCCAAAATTAGTTCAATGTCAAAAATATTTTAGAATTTTACTTTTGGAAAGTTTTGTCAAAAATATCCATTTAACTAAAGTGACAATGAAAGACTTTGAAGGCAAATACAGAAAGTTACATAGTGGTAAAAAAAAAAAAAAGCCTTAAATCTTTTACTATTGAAAAGATTGGGTTTTCTTAAGTAATCAAAGACCTGATAAAGTCAACATGTAGCAAAGTGAATTACTTTGGTAAGACACAAATCTGCTTTCCAGGATTATCTAAAAGGTGAAGAAAAACCTTTGTTTAAAATTTCTCATTAACAGAAGATTAATAACCTAAGAAAATTTTGTCCATTCAAGAAAGAGAAAACCAGAATCTAATTTTGCATTAGTATACTCTTGATATTTAAACTCACTTTTTATTAAAGAAACAAATAAATCCATTATAGTCTCAGCCAACTTCACCACACATGAAATCCCTTTCTCAACATTCCTTTTCCACAAACTTTCTACAGTTTTTTTGATATCCATTCATACTTTTCTTTTTTTATTTCTTTTATTTCTCTCATTCTGGAACAAGTATTTTACTTTAGGACAAAATTACTTTATTTTTTCTCTTACCAAATAAAAAAGTTCTCCATGCCTTTCTTTATGCAAAACCACATTCTGTTTTTCTTATATACTTACACGCACTTTTCATCCTTGTTATTTCTAAGTAGTTTTAATTTCTTAGAATTCTTAACATTTAGAATCCTTAATTCCTAGTGGAATTGTGGACTGTCTGTTACACCATCATTTTGTGGACTGGAAATTATAAATACATTTCATCATTTCTAGAAGCATGTTCTCTCATAATAAATTTTTCTCAAAATAAATGTGGCACAAAACATGTTTACTAACAGACCCAAATATCTTTAGTTCCTTTGTAAAAGGAAGCCAAAGTAGATAAACCTATGTCCAGTAATTAATGTTTCAGTATTTTATTTGGAAATGATCGAGTCAATGAATAACCATCATTTTACTTATCTTAGTAAAACCTTGAGGTTTCAAGTTACCAGAAGGATTTTGCAAACAATTTTTAAGTAGACATACCATAAAGCATAACTAATTATCATTTAAAAATTCATTTAAAACTTTGATCTTACATACATCTACTTATTTGTTCTTATGTTTAGATTACTCATGAAAGTCTCATGAGACATTAAACAGTTAACCATCATCTTAAGTTATCTTTCTTGTTGATGAATTCTGTAACAGAGATAATATGAGCTTATTTGACTTTTAGTACACCTAGGTAGACTACAAGTTAAACATCTGTATTATACTTAATATTGATAATTCTAAATACATGACTGCTTTAATTAAACTAACATAGTTTTTTTTTCCTCTAAAATTATCCTAGATCACATGAACTAATTTGGATTACTTTCTATATTTCAGACAATATACTTGATTTATATAAATGTTTAATTTTATTTAACCCAATTAAATGGAACTCTTTACAAATTAATTTCGGCAATACCATCCAGAGCTAGAAAAATATCACATATCCATAACATACATACATAGACTTAAACATACAGATGGATGCAAACAGACATCTTGCAGTTTTTGTTTAAAAATTTTAGCCATGAGACAGTTATGATAATGCAAAACTCACCAGTTTATTTAGAAATAGTTAGATCCAGATCATGTTTCTGGCAGATGGAATAAATTAAGATTACTTGCTCAGATGGCTAAAACTTTTTAGTAATATATGTGGGGGTTTTTTAAGATTTTTTTTTGTCTAGTTTCCTAATAATAGCCCTGAAAACAAACTTTTTTTCCCTTTTGATAAGCATTACCTAAGTTCTGAGAAACCAAATAGAACATTTGTATCTCAAAGTCCCAGGGCAAGAATTCAAGTTCTTCCAGTTTCCCAAGGCCAGAATTTTTATGATAGCTATAAACCTTTTGAAATGAAAAGAGGAGGTTTTGTGATCAGTTAAAAAAAACTGATTTTTTTTCCTACTCTTGCAAAGACTCAATTTGTAGGACAAGTTGTCCTCAATTCGCAGGACAGTTGTTTTCAATTCCTGAAAGAATTGGGTTGTAACCTGAATGATACCAAGGTTGCTGACCCACCCATACAACTAACTACATTATCTTCAATTTGCTTCTTTACACCAGAGAGAAGATATTTAAATAGAAATCAAAATATTCCTATGTTCCAGATTTAAAGTTGGTTGTCTTTGGAATGTTTTCATTGTCCTGGGGGTGTATAGTTTAATTTTCCCTTAGAGGAGAAGGCCAAAAATACTTTCCTGCCAGGCTTTGAATATTAGCTACCAGTTTGGCCAACTTCTAACCATAGAGTTTCTTTAAAAAAAAAAAAAACTTTTCAAATATCTTGTCAACTTTCAACCAGGACAAACAGCAAATATTCCGGCAATATTGAGCAACCCAAAATATTCTACCCTTTCCAAGATCCAGAGTCACTTCCAAAAATAGGCAAAAGAAAGAAAGACTTAGACAATTCCCTTGAGAGCTGGCAACAGTTGGTAGGACCCTAACTACAAATGTAGTGCAACACACATTTCTGTCCAGCCATATTTTGGGACCCCCAACCTGAGGGTGGAGCTGCCTGTGTACACAAGAACGGACAACCTGTATGTCCCAGGCAAACAGAATGTGGATCCAAGTTTCCAGGACACTGAACAACACAAACAACAAGGAAACAGCTGTCCCTGGGAGAGAAAAGAGCAACAAACAATGAAGACCCCAAAACCAAATCTGTAAGAGTCTGGATTTGGAAAGTGACATGAGATTTTACTTTCCTTTCTCAGCCTGCCACCTCTGACATCAGGAGACCGACTGGTAAGAATTCTTACCTTTCACTGGTTTCTGCCAGTTTTCCAAGGATTCCATTTGCAGGCTTCTAAGCAGGTGTATTTAAAGTAAAGAGTAGAGCTCAGGTTTTACCACAGTTTGCAAGGTTTTCCACTAATTTTAATTTTAGTTTCCCCCTGGATGTTAAGGAAATAATTGGAATGAGTTTGCCAGAGAATTCCTGAATTTCTGCCAACCCTGGGAAGGGCCCATATGGGGACCCCCTTTCAAGGTGTATATGGGGGTGTGTTTGAGTTAGTGTGAAAACATTTGATGAAACCTTCAAGTACAATGTTTTCTCTAGTGTTCCACTTTAATTGCAAAGACACCCATTTCTATGCCAGTGTTTTGATGATGGACCCCAAGGAGGGTATAAGAGGTGAAGTCCGAGTGTTTTAGGTTTCTGGTCTTGAAGCAATAGAATTGTAAGGCCATTAACTTATTGGACTTTTGTTTACAGTCTGCTAGTCTCTTCAGAGTGGAAAGACAATTCAGAGAAAGAAGTAGCAGATTGAACACTCGAATAAAGAAGGATAGAGGGAGGTAGTATGAGTCACACCAGTTTTAGAGTCTTTTGTTTTAGGTACCTCTTGTGTCTTTTAAGTTTTATGTCACCTTTGCAATGAAGGTTTTATGGAAATCTATTTTGGAATTTTTGAAGCCTTTTCCTAGCCTCTGATATGAATTAAAATAGATATCCCATTCTGTTTGTTAACTTGGGAAACCTTGTATTCAAGTGCACTTTTTAAGTGAAGAATCTTGTCTAATTTGAACATTCCCATGGTGGCTATTGTAAATCTCGGTTGTCTTGGTTAGATCTTGCCATTCTTATAGATATCTCTATCTTTCAGGACCATAGTTCTTTGACATAAAATAAGCAGGTGTGCCAGAAAGTAGAGCACTCAATTTTTTGAAATCTGAGAATCCCATTTCTTCAGCTAAGCCTTGGGTCTTCCAGAACCAAATTAATACCTGAAAGGGATGTACCACTGGGTTTGGGATTTTGTGGTATTTTACAGTTTGCTTCAGTGCTTCAGTGCATGGACATTTACTTGAATTTGGCCAGTGACTTAGTGTCAGTTTAACTTAGTCTGTGGCCAACTTATCTTAGCACAGGAGTCTTAGAGCTTGGTGGCAAGCCCTCTAACAGCTTTTAAATGCTCACCCATTCCTACTAATTTTGCATCTTTGGCTTTTGAGATTCCCACTAGCAATAAATACATTATTTTTTCACAAGATTTCTTTATAAGAGGCATATGAACTGATGGTCTTTAATAGTTTGACTTGTGCCTGTTTTGATTTTGATTTTGATAGTCAAAATAGTCTGAAATTCTTGTCTTAACTTGTTTTCCCAGTTTCCCCAATAGTTTATGCCATGGACTAACTCCACAGTTTTGTGAGTCCCCTAACAACTGCCACCCACTGTGGACACTGGAATCTCTTCTTGAGTATGCAAATGGCTTCCACTCATTGCACACTACCAGTGTTATTTCTCTGGAACCTTTAAGGGGAAGGGTCCAAGGGCAGGCCTCCCTAAGATGTGCCACTTTGCCATACAGATTACTTTGAGCTGAAAAACCATCAAGGCCCAAAAGAATACAGGAGGATACTGTGACATCCTTCCGTCACTGTACAAAAAGAATTACATGGAGAAACTACTCCAGGAGGAAAACTCTCACCTTAGACAGCTATATTATAATGTAAACTAGGTGTGGCAGACAGGGAGGGCTGTGGTTAAGTCTGTTAAAATTCTGTCTGTGCCTCATTGTTTCTGTGTTGCCCATTTAATATTTTGTTTAACAAACATTTACTCTTTTCATATTCCTGTGAATTTCTTCCCTTTTCCTTTGAAGTCTCAGACCTGTACCCTCTTCTCCTTGGCTCAGGATGATACATACACCTCACTCTTCCTGACTGTCTTTGAAACCCATTTCCATGGCTTCCTCATACATACATAATTAAACTTTCATTTTTCCTCCCGTTAATCTGTCTAATGTCAATCTGATTCTTAGAACAGCTAGGAGAACCTTGAGGTATAAAGGAAATTTCTTTCTCCCCAACAAAGGGATCCCAGAACCTTTTGAGAACTTCAATAAACTCCAGAAACTTTCCAGGGGCCCAGAACTTCCCTGGGAACAATATATATACATAATACATACATACACATACATATACGAAGTAAAGTTTGGATCAGAGTGCTGACACAGTGGGGCACAGCTCAAATCCAAGAGTGACTTACTCATACCCTTTGGTAACGATGAGAGGAACAGTGAACTCCAAGGGTTCAGCAGGTGTCTCACCTGTGTGTCTAGAAATCCTGTACACCATTAAGCAGTCAGCTTTGGATACCACTCCTTGTTGCCAAAAGGCTGTTTATAAAAAATGATTAAAGAAGACAATTTAGGTGATACAAACAAACTTTATTTAACACTTCATGAAACTGATATCCCTTTCAGAAAACTGCAAAATGGGCCAGAAGGCAGGAAGCTTTTATAGGATAAAGAAGAAAGAACAAGGAAGAGACAAACAAAATATACAATTAGCTGGGGCCAGTCAACTTTCTTTGGGGTGAGGAGGCCCACAGTTGGCTTGACTTTTGGAGATTGGCTGACTGGATATATTGCATTTCTGGTCAAGCAGAACATTTATAGAAACATGAAAATTAATGAAGTTTCACTTTGCTGATGTGGTACCCTGGGCAGGAGCAGCTCCATCTTGGACTTAGAAATGTATTTCAACACTATCAACAAAATCAAATGCTACTTCTTTGAGAAGACTCATAAATAAGCAGATTTGATAGTCAAGAAAGAAAACCTAAAAAATACAAGTAATTTTAGAAATTGTAACATTAGCAAAAATCTAGTCACAAAGATAACACCATGACTACATAATATATTTTAGAGGTGACACTGAAAGCTTAAGAAATTGATAAACCCTAATTTATGGAAGATGTTGATTTATTATTTTAAAAGGCAAAAATGCTACTATTTTTATTATCCATTTTAATGTTATAGTAATAATAGAGAAAGGCATTTAGGTGAATAATTTTTTATATCAATTTGACTGGGCCACAGAGTGCACAGACATTTGGTTAAATGTTATTCTGTGTGTGTCTCTGTTTTTGGGTGAGATCAACATATAAATCAGTAGACTGAGTAAAGCATACTGCCCCCTAATATGGGTGGCCTTCATCCAATCATTTGGAGTCCTGGAAAAAATTAAAAGGCTGACCCTCTCCGAAGTAAGAGAGGATTCCTCCTGCCTGCCTGACTTTGAATTAGGACATCAGCTTTTTCCTATCTTCATTTTCAAACTGAAACATAAGAACTTCTTCAGTCTCAAGCTGATTGGCCTTGAGCCTAGAACTCCACTCTTGGCTTTCCAGGGTCTCCAGCTTGCCAACTCACCCTTCAGATCTTAGGACTTGTCAGCCTCCATAATCACAGGAGCCAATTTCTTATAATAAATCTCTTTTTATAGATAGATGGGTGGACAGATGGTTCTGCTAATAGTTCTATGTCTCGAAAACTCAAAGTAATGTAGCAATGAAAGAAAAGAAAATTGTGGGACAATTCTCTTTCTGAACAGAAATGCAAAAACATAGACAAAATAATAGAACTCCAGTAATATGGATGCATATATGTTTATTTACACACACACACACACACACACACACACACACACACACACACACCATTGTTAAGTGGGACTATCCCTAGGAATGTAAAGACATCTTTTTATGAACTTTGCCACATGAATTAATTTTAAGAAAAAACTTTTTAAACAAATTTAAAAAGATTTTAGCAGTAGCCAGAAGAAAAAGCATTAGACAAAATTGAAAGCTCATCTATGACAAATGCTCCAGTAAAACAGAATTATATGAAGAAATTTTAACTTAATTAAAGTTATCTATCAAAAATCAGCAACAAATAATGTAATAAAAAACATAAAAATATCTTAAAGCAAGAAACAAAAAAAAATCACCTACTATCATAGATTCTATTCAACAGGATGTTTACTAGATGTTCTATCCAGGGCAAAAAAAGTAGAAAAAATAAAGAAGCATACAGGAATTGGAAAGAAAGGCTTTAAAATATTTTTGCAATGATTATCCACATGGAAAACTACAGATAATACAATAAGATGAATAAACAAAATTAAAACATATAAAATCAATATAAAAATCAATAGTATTTTTGCCTAGCAAAACTATTTTTGAAATGAAGTTTTCAAAAATTCAACTCACAGAAACAGCATCCCATATGGTATATAGGAATAAATCTAAAATATAGCCAAGATCTTTATAAATAAAATTATTTTTAGAAAATAAAAAAGACCTCAGTAAATAAATGGAGTGCTAAACTATATATACTCAAATCATAAAGATAATAATGCATCTCCAAAATGAATCCTTAACTTCTTTATTGCTGATATCTTTTCTAACTGTATCTTTTTTATTGAAGTACAGTTGATATACAGTATACAGCCCCATGATTCAACAGTTATACACATTATTAAATCCTCACCCCAACTTGTACGGTTACTATCTGTCAACATAGAAAGATGTTACAGAACCATTGACTATATTCTCCATGCTGCACTTCCATCCCTGAGACCAACTTATATGATGATTGAGATTTTACCTTTATAGATATTGAAAATTTTATCCTAAAATTATTGAATCCTAAAAGAAAAAAAAAGGAAACTAGGAGTTTTTAGAAATATGTCAAATTAATTCTCAGCATTCCAGAAAGGTATTTCATGCTATCCTCATTTTTCAATGCTTTCTTTATGTATAAGACCTCTTCAGCATCTTTCTATTATATTGCTAATTTATGGTTAAGTGGTCTGAGTTGCTATCACTGCTGTAACACAGAGAATTTTAACTAATACATATGCTTGAGTTCAAATTATTCATTTAAGTCCCTATGACTATTTCCTCACCTACTAAGACATTTTTACTGAATATTTTCCAAGTTTTCCTCAAG